CACAATTTTAACTCTTATAATTAACTAAAGTCATTATTTGTGCCTTTCTCCCTATTGAGTAAATGATATGATATATAGTAGGAATTTCTTCCCTACTCCTTACTGACATTCTTTTAATTTGTATTTCCAGGCAGCTGAAAAATTGTGGCCCCAAATTGCAATTGGAATACTTTAAGAACTGATGAAAGTTTTTACAAAAGGACCAGTTAGTCCATATTTTCATTTATTTTTTTAACTAAGATTTATTTATTGGGCCCAGCATGACTCCGTGGCTAAATCCTCACCTTGCACTTGCCATGATCCCATGTAGGTGATGGTTCATGATCTGGTTGCTCCACTTCCCATCTAGCTGCCTGCATGTGGTCTCAGAAAGCAGTAGAAGATGGGCCAAAACCTTGGGACCCTGCACCCATGTGGCAGAGCCAGAAAAAATTCCTGGCTTTGGGCTCCTGGCTTTGGATTGGCTCTGGGTGTTGTAGCCATTTGGGGAATGAACCAGTGGAAGAAAACTCTCTGTTTCCTTCTCTCTGTAAATCCAACTTTCAAATAAAAATAAATAAATCTTTGAAAAATCTAAAAGATAATTGTTCTAAACCTGAAAAACTACCAGTGTTAAATCCCAATTAACATTGCCAATGTAAAGCTACCTTCATATCTTCATCTTCTTAAAATAAAATTTGGCTACTTATAGTCTTATTCTAGAACTTGAAAACACAGGAATATAAAATCTTTTATTTTTACCACTGATCCATCATTTTTAAAGTGTTCTCTTGAGCGTGTTTCTCTGCCAGTAAAAGGGCATCCACAAAAAGGCCTTGATCTTGGAATTTCTAGGGATTTTTCAAAACCTTTAATCATCTTTTTAAAGAGAGCAGACAGCTGGAAGTCAAACCATTATGGCCTCAATGTAGTTGGTATTTCCCATTAGTGGGTAAACTGAAATTGGCAGCTTGTTTCAGAGTAGTACCAGATGTTAGTTAGCAAGTTTTAGTCCCTAGAGAGGAAACTGGACATAGCACAGGACTTGCTGCTTGACCTCCCAATCCAAATAGTATTTTACTTTATATTTATATTAGAGCCATGCAAGTGAACAGAAATCTCAGATTTCGTAAATTCGCCTTTAACTTTTTAAAGTATTAATCTGGTTTTGCAAGTGTCCCTAAATTTTAGTAATGATAATGGGATTTTGTCCAGGAAAGATAAGTTATTTATTGCTTTGTATGCTGCAATCATCTTGAAGGGCAGCTTATTTATTTCATCCTGCAAATAATTTTACCTTGGTGAATTTCCAGGTATTTCTTACACAATTTCTCATTCTTCATGTTTTTAATTTTCAAACTGGTTGCAACTACTAATGGGTGCCATAAAGGACAGTTAACGGATAAAGAAGGTATATATATATATAAACACGCACACACACACACATATATACTAAAAAGCTTGGCTTCCTTTGTTAAATTTCCTATTAGCCTTATCTTGAGAGATTTGTATTGCTTACAATAATGTTGGTAAACATTAGAAAAATCTATTCTTTCCAATAACAGAGCATGCAATTGTGCATTCAAATTGATCTGAGCATCAGAAGTGTATTTGCAAGCTATGTTAAAAAAAATTTTTTTTTACACAAAATATAGTTGAGATCTCCTAAGAAAACTGAGTATCCAAATGCAAAAGAAAAAAAAAATTACAACTTTACCAAACACCAGATACAGATATGAACTCAAAATGGATCAAAGTCCTAAATGTAAGAAGTGAAATTGTAAATCTAGTAGAAAAACACAAAGGGCAAAAATTTCCTGATACCAGATTTGGTAGCAATTTCCTGAATTTGACATCAAATGCACAGACGACAAAAGAAAAAAATAGTTGAACTGGACTTCATGAAAAATAAAGACTTCTACATATCTGAAGATACTACCAACATAATCAAAAGACAATCTGCCTAACAAGAGGAAAAACTAACAAATTGTATCTCATAAATATATAGACAATTTCTGAAACCAAATATTAAAACCCAAACAGCTCAATGAAAAAAAATGGCAAAGGACTTGAAAAGAAAATATTCAAATGACTAATAAACACATGAAAAGATGCTTACCATCACTAATCATTAAGGAAATGCAAATAAAAACCATAATGAGATATTACCTCACATCCAGTAGGATGGCTAGGCTGAAAAGCAATAGAAAAGAGCCTAGATGGCTCTTAAGATAGCCACATCCCACATCTAAGTACCTGGGTTCGATTTTTGCTGCTAATTCCTAGCAGTGTCAACTCAAGTTACTGGATTCTTGCCACCCAAGTAGGAGGTCTTGATGGAATTCTCAGCTCCAGCTTCAGCTCCTGCCCAGCCCAAGCCATTTTTGGCAGCAGGCTCTCCTTCTCTGTCATGTTTCTCTTTCTCTGCATCAAAAATAAATAATAAAATTTAAAAGCCAGAAAATACCAACTGTGAAGGATGTGGAGAGATTGTGTGAAATGGAATAGCTGCTGTGGAAAAGAGTACAATGATTTTTCAACAAATTAAGAGCACAATTGTCATATGGTCTATTGATTTCACTTCTGGAATACAACCCCAAAATCTACATATTCCAGATACATATTTTATGTTATCTAACAATATATGTATTCAAAATATATTCAAGACCAAGCTATTCATCAGTTTATTTGATCTCTTCATATGTAATGAGCAATGCTTTCTAAACAGAGACTACAAGGAACGTACCTGTAGCAGAACACATTGGGCTTATCATCAGTGATTCAATGAGATGGGTTTGGGGTGAGTTTACACATGGGGGAACTGTGTTACATCTCAAAGATGTAAGGAATGACTTGTTCCATAGATTTGGGCTTTTTGAAGGTAATTTACGGGAGGCTTCAGAGAGGCCGGTCTTGGCTCTGGACCAAAAACTGTAAGGAAGCAGGGGTAATTTTATACTTGGACATTTTAATAAATCTTATCTAGAAGAATGACTAGACCACTAGCTCAGATAAGGGAATGTTTGGTCATTTTTGTGTCTTGAACAATGTTTACTTTTTTTCTGTATACAGACATGATTCACAGTGAACTTAATTTTGCCTTGATCCATCTTCATCAGAGTGGCCTTGTTTGATGTAGACATCCTGTGAAGCAGTTTGTGCTCCACAGAACAGCAGGACCTCATTGTGATGGCCAGGCGAGCTCATGGCAATCCAGGCCATCCCACAGATGTCATGGTCTACGCATGTTGCATTTCTTGTTTATCCTCCCCTCCTCCCAACACATTACTTTGTAGTTTTCCCTTCTGTGTGACAAGATCACCCACACCTGTGTTCACCCCAAACCCAAGATCCTCTATCAATGCTGCCCTTTTTTTATCCTCCCCAGCCAGTCACCAAATCCTACCGTCTCCTTTTTATTTGTTCTGCCAGCATTCTGGTATGAGCCATCATTTTTCCTCTCTTGAATATAAGTAGTAGAGCACACATTTGGCAGAGTGGTTATAGCTTAAGCACTTCTACTCTATGCCACACACACAGAAGACCTGAACTGCGTTCATGGCACCCAGCTTTGACCTGGCCCAGGAACAGCTGTCATGAGCATTTATTCATGAGCATTTATTTAGGTAGTGAACCAGGAAATGAAGCTCTGCCTTTCTTTTTTTATTATTATTATTTTTTTATTGGAAAGGCGGATATACAGAGAGGAGAGACAGAGAGGAAGATCTTCTGTCCAATGATTCACTCCCCAAGTGAGCACAACGGCCGATGCTATGCCGGTCCGAAGCCAGAAGACTCTTCCAGGTGCAGGGTCCCAAGGCTTTGGGCCGTCCTTGACTGCTTTCCCAGGCCACAGGCAGGGAGCTGGAAGGGAAGCAGGGCTGCCGGGATTAGAACCGGTGCCCATATGGGATCCCAGGTGCGCAAGGCGAGGACCTTAACCACTTGAGCCACCACACCGGGCCCTCTCTCTCTGCCTTTCAAACCAAAACAATGAAGTAGCTTCCAATCGTCTTCATTCACTTGTGCTCCTTTACAAACTGTTGTCTTCACAATAGGCATAAAGCAGTTTGTATCACTCCCTTGCTTTAAAACTTCCCATGTTGTAGTTAAACACCCAGCTTCTTAATCCTTTCAAAACCCCATACAGTCTGGTCTCAGCCTAACTACTCTCCACCCTCAGCTCAGCTGTCTTTCCCTTCCCAATGCCTCTTCAGGGACACACTCCCTTGCCTCGAGCAGCATGGAGCACAGGGCTATCTCTGGACTTGATATCTTATTTGTCCTACAGGCTCTTCAGAGATTTTTCTCTGAGGCATCTTCCCTGATCACCTTTTCAAGGTGTCATTTTTCTAGCCACTGTTACATTTTTCCTTTGGAGACCTAATTAGTATCAGAAAGAATAATGTTTATTTACTCGTCTGTTGTCCCTACTTCCTGGGAATTTCGCATCATAAAGACAGAGCTGCCTTGTTACCACTGTAAACCCAGCCCCTAGAAAGTTTGTCTTACCTCATTTCTACTGAAGCAGTTGGGACCAGTGCTGTGGCAATGGATTAACCCCCATCTGCAGCACCAGCCACAGCGGCGCCAGTTCGAGACCAGGCTCCTGCAAGTGCAGGGCTTGGACCCCTGCACCCATGCCCGAGACCCCCGGCCTGGCCTACACTGAATCACTGTGGCCATTTGGGGACTGAACCAGCAGCTGGACGACTTATCTCTCTCAGAAAAATAAATCTACATGTATGAAAGAATCAGATTTTCGGCTTGTTTCTAACGAAGAATGGCACTCTAAGAAAAGGAAGTATAAAGGAGTGGACAAAGTCCTTTTCATCACCGCAGTGACTATTGTATGATGCCACCACAGTACACATGGATATATCAGAATGTCAGGACCTGAGGTTTCTTTTTGCTAAAGCATACTCTTCCAGAAAATAAGGTCGGACCCTAGCTGACGGTTTACCCTACAGGTTGGGCAAAGTTCATCCTGGCGGTAACCTTCCGGTGCCGTCACCCCGAAGAACCTCAACTCTTGCGCAGGCGCGCTGCAGCCGGTCGGCGGCGCCGAGCGCTGTGGAGTGCGCGTGCGCAAGCAGAGCAGCGCGGCGGGAAGTGTATCCCCGGCGCGTTTGGCCGGCGGCGACCCCGTCGTCTGGAAGCCGAAGAAGTCCGAACGCCCTTAAACCGTGAGTTTCCGACAGTTGGTTCCATGGCGCGGGGTTTCGGGTAGACGGGTTCGGGGTCGTGCCGTCGGTTCTGTCGCAATGCTGCTCGCCCCTGGGTCCCCTCGGGAGCGAGCCGGTCTCGGCGGGAAAGCGGCGCGCCTGCGCACTGAACCTCCGTGCGGTCTCGCGGCCGAGGGAGGCGGGTTCTCGGCGCGGCGCTCGCGGCCCTCAGCCGGCCGGACGCCACGGCTCATGGCCGCTGGCCGTCCTGCGGCCTCCGGCGGTGTGCGGGGCGCCTTGGGCGAGCCTCCCGGTGTGTCTGGGGCCTCCCCCGCCTCCTGGGAACACTGGCCTCCCGACACCTGCCAGGGCAGAGTGAAGGGAGCGACATTCCTCAGAAATGGCCTCTGTTCCTTCTCCGGGGGTTTGTTCCCAAGGCGCGTTTTGAAATGCCCGCCCCTTTGAGGGCGTTTGACAGTGCTTGCTTCAGCCAGTGATTTCTTGACCCTGTCCAGTATTCTCTTTCACAGTTGCTCGGCTCCCGCTGTGGACATGACCCCTTAGCCGGCGTTCTATGCGTCCCCGTTGATTGGTGCGTGATGGAGGCGACTGGGGGGCTTCAGATGGATCAGCCATTGGCCTTTAGTTCCCCGCGTGACCCGCTTCAGACTGATGGCTCTTTGAAAAAACATGAGCAGAATTTTAAACTCCCAGGTATGTTTAACTCCGGTGATGTACAGTCCCCCAAATCTAAAGACCACAAGTCTGTTATCCATTGCTTTTGAAAAAAAAAAAAAACAAAAAAAAAAAACCTCACGTTGGAGCCTTAGAGTGAGTTGTGTATTTCATTTAGTTCTCATCAATCAGTAAAGACATCCTCAATGTGTATAGATTTGCATTTCAAGAGGGCTGGGGGCCAGCCTGTGCTGTCTGAACACTAGTGGCCCCACTGCCCAAGACAACAAATCTGTTGATAAACCGAACTCGAGTTTCCCCTCTTGGCTCCTGCCATATTGCTTGAAGCTTGGCTAGAAGTCAACACTGAGGGACCCTCCCTCCCCTTAAGAATTTCAAAGCAGGGGGCGTGGCACAATGGCTCAGTAGCTAAATCCTCACCTTGCAAACTATGGCATCCCAAATGGGCACCCGTTGTGTCCCAGCTGCTCCACTTCCCTTCTAGCTTCCTGCCTGTGGCCTGGGAAAACTGTGGAGGATGCCCAAAGCCTTGGGTTCCTGAACCCACATGGGAGACCTGGAGGAGGCTCCTGACTCCTGGTGTCGGATTGGTTTGGCTCCAGCCATCGCAGACATTTGGGGAGTGAACCAGCGGATTTAGGATCTTTCTTTTTGTCTCTCCTTCCTATAAATCTGCCTTTCCAGTAAAAAAATAAATCTAAAAAAAAATTCCAAAGCAGAATTAAGTGGCAAAGATAAACAACATGTTTGTTCCAGTAACAAAGCACCACTTACCAGTGACCTTAATGAAGTGTGATTGTACCATAGCATAGACCATGGGTCTAACAATACCACATTTTGTCAACCAACATGTACCTTTTTACTGCCCAGTCATAGTGTATGGTACAAGGTAGAGATTAATAAATATTTGTTGGATAATGGAGGATCTGGTTCTGTTCTTTCTCTGTAAAAGGTGTCTGAACTTTTTCCATCTTAATTTAGTGCTGGAATAAAAAGATGTTAATTTGACCTTTTGTTAATACATATTTTACAGAAACCCTACAAATTAAACTTTAATCCTAGCCTTGAAAAATATGATATCATGCACTTTTACTTTCTGACTGAAGCTAAGCTCATGTTTGGTATCAAAGTAAGTCCCCTTCTTAATGTCCCCATTTGGTGTTAAGAGTGCCACTGTTCCGTTGTCTGCACTTTATGCCTTAGCGATGGTTCCCAGTATCCAGTCACCCAACTTTGGTAATAGAAAGAAGCAATGCCACGCATCCTAAACAAAGACATTTTCAGCACATTAATTCATTTTTATACTTTGTTCCTAAATTATAAGGACGTTTCCTGTCTCAATGCTTTGCTTTCACTTCTTTTCCACCCTCTATCTTATACACTCCTACCAGAATGATCTTAAAATACAGGAGTTTCATGAATATGGTCCCTGTTGCCTTCCTTTTATTTGTAATGACCCGGTTGTTCTCTTTCTTCAGTTCCATTTAGTTAAGTCGAGTGTGAGTGGAGAGTCAGGATATTCTGAAAATCTTAGGAGGTAAAGAATGGGGTGAATTTTATTCCAGATATCGGAAGTTTTGTAGGTTTTACCTAATACATCGGACAACATTATAAATAATGCCAATGATAATTTATAAAACATGCTAAGACTTTATTCATGTGGTTTTTTTTAAAATCACCTTTGATAAAAGCCAAGGTTATATCAAAAGCATAACTTCAATAAGGAGTAAAGCTGACGCAGTCCAGGCCTACAGTGAGTGGTCTCTTGATCGAATTGAGAAAGTCAGATGGGATTATGAGACAGGTACCTGGACTGCATCAGCTCTATTCCTTATTGAAGTCATGGTTTTGGTTAGGTAGTGGGATTTTTCTGCATATTTGCATGCCTAGCATCTAAAAATGTGCAATAAATAGTACATGCTTGAAGATTTGAGTGACTTTTAGCACAAGAATGTAAAGTTTAATTCTCACTGTATTCAATTAGTAACTTTTTGATTTGGGATGCCTGTCACATTTTTATAGCTTTGGAAATTATGCATACTTTTATTGAACAAAATTAAGAATTATAGAAAGCCAAAATAAAATGTTATTCAACTGTGCAATTATCGAAACTGTTGACATTTTGTTTTGGAATTGGGTGTAGAGCCACAATTTAGAATGATAAAACTTCAGAGTTCAGTCTAGGCATTCTAATAAGGGATAAAGGCATCCTTTCTAGAAACTGTATACCCAGGGGGATACATTTTTAAAATTAAATTGAAATTGCTATCAGTTTACTTCTAATCTTGTTTATTAATTTTTTGCTAAACATATAGTTAAGTATTCTGTAACTTACATATATAATTTATTCAACTTTTCTTGTTGTCCATTAGATCTTTTTTTTCCTATTAAGAAAAATGTTGTAGTGCACAAAGTATTTGGCATAATATTAGGGTAAATAATTACTGTTGTTTCAGCAAGCTTTTCCCCTTATATGTTTGTGATATGCTAAATGTACTGAGAAAAATCTGTTCAGTATAAAGATAAGTATGAAGTACCTATATACTGAGTGTCTCCTCTAGACTGGCAAATGCTACTGGAAAACTTAACTTCGTCCTTGTTGTGTGAATGCCCTTAGCCTGGGCTTCTAAAAATCTGTCAAAGGTACCGCCTTGGATTTCCTGGGATAGAACTAGTTCATACTTGCTGCCAAAGTGTAATTGTTAGTATCCCCTTTTATCCTCAAGAGTATCCCAGTTGGGACTAAATTATATAAGGGATATTCAGAAAGTTTATGACAAATGCACTTTATCTTTTAATTTCTCTTTGACACAAACTTTTTGAAGTACCTGCACGTGTTTTCCCCTTGATGCGGTAGGTGTGAATCAGTACCCAAATTTATCCTGTATTTCTGGGGTATCAGTTATACTCCATGGTAAGATAACAAAAGCACTTCATTTATGTGATCAGTACTTAGTAAACATCTGTTACATGCAGGTACTTTTCTAGGTGGAATGAGTCAGTGCATAAACCAACAGCCTTCAATCTAATAAAAAAGATTAAGTAAAATTAAATGTTGTGTTTAGAAGTGATTAGTGCTGTAAAGAAAATAGAGTCATACAGATAGGAAGTACAGCGGAAGAAGATTATAACTTTTTTTAAAAAAGTTTTTAACTTTTAAAGTTTTAACAGTTGTTTTAATTATTGAATTGCATTTAACATTTTCTTAAGGTTTGTTATTTGAAAAGTCCAATGAAAAAAGGTGGAGAGAAGGAGAGATAACTTCTGTCCACTGGTTCACTCCCCCGAACGGCTACAAAGGCTGGGGCTGGGACCAGGCCAAAGCCAGGAGACCGAAACTGCAACCACGTGCCTCCCATGGGCGGCAAGGGCCTATGTGTTTGGCCAAGGGCTGACCCAGACAAAAACCTGTTTGCCTGGTTCATTAGCAGGAACGTTGAATCAGAAATAGAACAGCAGAACTCCAACCAACACTACACTATGGAATATGGGATCTTAATAAGGAATATAGGATGACTTGGTCACAAATAACAGATATACCTTCTATATGATGGTGGCACCTCTACCCTTTTTTCTTTCAATTTGAGAGACACAGAGCATTCCCATCCACTGTTCATGCCTCAAATGCCTGCTATGAAGGACTAAGGCCAGAGCCAAGAGTTGGGAACTCAATCCAGATCTTCTACCATGGATGGGAGAGACTCAAGGATTTGAGCCATCACCTGGTGCCTCTCAAGTGCACATCAGCAAGAAACTGGAATTAGGAGCAGAGACCCGATTTAGAATGCTAAAACTTCAGGCTTCAATCTGGGCACTCTGATATTGGCTATCAGCATCCTTTGTGGCGGTTTATTTAAATCCAGACTATAATTGAATAGTACAGTTGTTAACAGAAGACTTAACTGAGGTACTTTGCAGGTATTTGGGGCGGAGCATTCCATGCAGAGGAAGCAGAACTGTAAAGGCCTGAGACCGAAGTGTGCCCAGCATACAAGAACAGCTGAGGTGTGGGGAAGAGGGGACCAACACTGTGGGGTGGTTGTTTAGCTGCTATTTGTGACACTAGGCTTTGGCCTGGGTAAGCCCTGGCCGTTGTGGCCATTTGGAAATGAACCAACAGATAGAAGATCTGTCTCTGCTTTTCAAATAAAATAAGTGGATAAATCCAGAAATACAAAGTCACATCTTGAAAAGTAATAACAAGGATCCTTGTGTCTGCAAGGGGAAAGTGATGGAAGTGAAGTTGGAGATGTGCAGTGACTTACGGAGTCAGATGGGAGGGCATTAGAGGGTTTGAACAAAGTAATGATATGATGACTTAGCTTTACCAGGAAAATTGTGCCTGGGTCTGGCACAATGGCTTAGTGGCTAAATCCTCACCTTGTAAGTGCCAGCATCCCATATAGACACGAGTTCCTGTGCTTGCTGCTCTACTTCTTATCTAGCCCCCTGCTTGTGGCCTGCCTAGGAAAGCAGCAGAGAATGGCCTAAAGCCTTGGGACCGTGTACCCACACAGGAGACATAGAAGAAACTCCTGGCTCCTGGTTCCTGGCTCCTGGCTTCAGGTCGGCTCAACTCTTGCCATTGCAGCTATCTGGGGAATGAACCAGTGGATGGAAGATCTTTCTCTCTGTCTCCTGCTGTGTCAATCTTCCTTTCCAATAAAAATAAATTAATCTTTAAAAAAAAATCATGCTTGCTGTGTTACAGACAGGCTGTAGGCCAGCTAAAATGGAAGCAGGGAGTAGTGAAAGCAGGAACTATAGCTAAGGAAGCTATTGCTGTAAGAAAAAATCATGGAAGTTCACAATAAAAGTCTAAATTTTCATGTATACAGCATGGGTAAGTAATTTTTTAGCATTTAGACTTTAAGGGGCTTCTCTCAGTCCTCAAAATCTCATTTCTCCCTCTCTTTGTAGTAAGATTTTGCAGGCCTGAACATGCGTATTAATTTCTTCTCTCTACTCTGACTTCCCACTTCAGAATTTGAGAATATTGAAGTCTCTGGTTGCCATATTTAATATTGTTTAATAATGTCACAGCTATTTTTTGATGACAAGAAACTTTTATTTATGAATATTATTTTTAAGTAATGATGTGATGGCTTTTTTTGAAAATTTATTACATTTTTATTGGAAAGGCAGGTTTACAGAAGGAGACACAGGAAGAACCATCCACTGATTCGCTCAAGTGGCAACAATGGCCAGAGCTGAGCTGATCCGAAGCCAGGAGCTTCTTCTGGGTCTCCCACCTGGGTGCTGGGTCCTCTACTGCTTTGCTGGGCCACAAGTAGGGAGCTGTATGGGAAGTGTGTTGCTGGTGTAGGAACAGGTGCTCATTTGGGATCTGGTGCTTGAAATGGGAGGATTTACCACTGAGCCAAGGCACTAGCTTCAAACACTGAGTTTTGTAAAGAAGTATATGTGAATAGTGATGTGGTTGCACATCACTTAGATTATTTGTGCATTACAGCATTTTCTTAATACATACATTTTCTTTCTTGTGATTTCTAACAGTATCTCTACTACTAAATAAGTTAATGCTTATGCAAAGTTCCAAAGTATGGAAATCAAAGGGAAAACCACAGGGGGGTGGAAGGTAAAATTTATCTGACCAGCATCTTTGTTGTGTAAGAAACTAAAGGCAAGTGTCATTCGTGACAGGAATTGAGTCCATATCTGTAGATTCCAGGTTTTATTTGTAAATCAGTGCTGACTTATGAAAATTTCCCTGTCATGTCCCATAATGCAGCTGAAAGCAGTTTTTAATACTATTTAAGTGTAACTTAAATAGCTACAAGAAACAGAACTGTATCACTTCAGAGTTCTTAGGATTACTAACCATGTAAGCCTGCATACAGTTACTTAGCTATGTTTAATAATGGCAGTACAAATACTGCTATGTATTTCACTAAGGGTTGGTATGCTGGTATATGAGGTTAAGCCACCACTTGGGATCCTCATATCTCAGAGTCCTAGCTGTTGAACTTCCAGTTCAGATTGCTGCTAATGCTCCTGGGAGAAAGCAGTTGATGGTTCAAGTCCCTGTCCCCCTCTTAGCTGTGTAGATGACCCAGATGGAGTTCCATATCACATCTAAATCCCCTGGGGACGGGCACCCTTATTTTGTATACTCTTCAGAAATGCCTCCATGTGTGCTGCGTCACCATGCTTTCTCATTACTCAGAACTGTTTTTGTGTTACACTTACTGAAAGACTTTTAGACTGATTCGATAAATAATTATATTGCAGTAAATAGAGTACTTCACAAAGTTCATGGAAGTTGGAATTTTAAAAGTGGATATATTTTGCAAAAAAATTTGAAATCCATACATAGCAGCCTCTTCAAAAAGTTCATGGAAATGGTATGAACTCATCTGCAAGATTCCAGATTTTTTGTGCAAGAATGAACTTAAGGGTTAAGCACATGCTCTGATTTTCTTCAAGTCACTGACAGCTATTGTTAGCTTGGATGTGCACAGTTGTAAACTGCATCCCAATTCCAAAGTTCTTAAGAATATCTTAGATCCAAAGAAATGGGATATTAAATTTATCATACTGTTCTAATACCTGTTTATGGTATTTTCCTGTGGCACTACAGAATTTGAAGATGAGTGGAACTAAACTTGTTGGGAAGGGGTAATTTAAGTTCTCCCCATTTGCATAGGTAGGTTTGGTACAAAAGAAAGGATATTGCACATGGCTTTTTTGGCCTGTTTAGTCCCTAAAATTAATCTCCTCCTCCCCTCGGACACATCCTCCACTTGACCTTCCTTCTGCTTATAAAGTTCCATGGCTTTGGTATGCATTCCTTGCCCCTTTTCTTCTCCTTCTGCATTGCCCTCCTTCATACCCTATTCATTTTTATTCCTTTTCCCGTTCTTCATAAAAAATCCTCCTGCTTTTGCTGCTTGGTGAATACTTCAGATCACAGCTGAACTCTTGTCACCTGAAAGCTTCCTGGTTACATTCAGAAGTGCTCCTTCCCTGTCCCCAAGCTTCTGTTTAGTCATATATGCATTCCTTTATTATAATTGTTGCATTAAGGGGGCAGGTGTCTGTCTACTAGATTAAGCTCCAAGGAAACAGAGCCTGCACTATATTTGTTTTCAAAATATGTCTGTACCTGAGCATTTTTAAAAAATGTATTTAATGAGCAAGACTAAAGGATTTCCTTATCTGAAAAATCAGGGTAATGCTTCTTATTCTGCCAAATCACAAAATTATAAGGATCTGAAAAGATAAAGTATCTGAGAGCACTTTGAAAATATCTTAGTCTGTTACATTACACAGTAGTATTATAACTTAAAATAGCTGGTGCTTGGCCTCTTACGCAGATCTCTTTTGTATCCAGCAGTTTATTAGATGTATGACTGCTTTCCATTGTTTTAACCATTTTTTTTTCTAAAGAATTTTTTTTTGACAGTAATAATTTACATGAACTTCATTAGACCTCTGAAGTTTTGGGGGGAAAGAGTTCTCAGTAACATTGGACTGTGTTTTTTCATGCCATTTAGTGACCACAGCACAAATTATTTAGTTATTTTTTAGATTTGCCTCTTTCATTGTGTCATACTCTGTAATACCTATTATATATATAATACCTATTATATGTAATATATGTAATATATTAATATATGTAGTATATGTATTATATGTAATATATGTAATACCTATTATATATAAACTCAGTGTAGTAGAAATTTGGTTCATTTAATTCTGGGACTGAAATTTTGTTATTTCAAGAAGTTTGTATGGACTGGTGTTATGGCATGACAGGGTAACCCTCCACCTGTCATGCCGGCATCTGCTGCTCTTCTGATCATGCTCCCTGCTAATGTGCCTGAAGCAGGAGAAGATGCCCTAAGCTTTTGGGATTGTGCAACCACGTGGGAGAGCCAGGTGAAGCTCCTAGCTCCCAGCTTCAGCGTGAACTACCCCTGCTTTTTGCAGCTATCTGGGGAGTGATTCAGCAGATTGGAGACTTTTTTTTCTCTTTCTTTCTATACGTTTAATAAGTAAACTTTTTAAAAAATGCATAAGTAGTTTTAGCTTTATGACAGTTATCACAATTTTAACATCTATTAAAACTATTCATTTGTACCTAATTTATGTCTTAAAATTTATCTCATTTTTTAAGTTTGAACTATGCAATGCAGTCTTACTGATTGCAATCATAAATCTGATTTCCTTTACAGGTGTTAAAAAAGATATTGAGAAGCTTTATGAAGCTGTTCCACAACTTGGTAATGTGTTTAAGATTAAGGACAAAATTGGAGAAGGTAATTTGGGCATAAGTTTTCTTTGTAAGTTTTTTTCCTCTTTCAAGCAATCTTGATTATGGTAATTTATCATTGAAAAATGTCCTGATGCTTAAATATAACCATGATTATATTTCTAATTACAGTTATAGGGTTTCCTTTTTTGTTCTGGAAAAAATGAGAATAACTGATATTTACAGTAAAATGGAAACTCCTGTTTAAATCTATAATCTTTGAAAAATCTTACCATTTATTTTAATATTTTTTCACATTTTTAAACCCAAACACTGAAAACCTAATAAATTTGTTTTTACAGGCACTTTCAGCTCTGTTTATTTGGCTACAGCACAGTTACAAGTAGGACCTGAAGAAAAAATTGCTCTGAAACACTTAATTCCAACAAGTCATCCTATAAGAATTGCAGCTGAGCTTCAGTGTCTAACCGTGGCTGGGTAGGCAACTTGAAAATATTTTAATTCCACTGATTACAGCTTATAGTATTTTAAAGTAAATGCTGAATTTGGATGATATTGTACATAAACATTTTTTAGTCATGTGTTTTTAATTTACAGTTTCCTTCAAATCTTGTAAGGGTTGATTTAATTCATATTCTTTCAGAGTAGATTTCCTTTGAGTTTTAGCTTGACTTCCTATTCTTTTACCACTTACCTCATATTCCTGCCAAATCATAAACTTTGGTTTCCATGATCTAGATTTTTTTTAACTATAGGAAAACTCACATTTCACATTTAGCTAACTTTTTTCAACCTCATCTCATATATTGATTAGAACAACAGAATTGTCTCCCAATAGTCCATTCCTTCCTATCAACATATGGATGTAATCTAATGTTTGATGTCTCCTGAACTTCCATCTCTCTGCCAGCTACTCCATTACTTATTTCCTCTCCTTTACTCTTCCTTAGATATTGTTCTGCATTTCCATATGACTTATGGTAATGATTTCCTAAAGAATATATCTAGTCTAAGGTGTTCTAACTGCAGATTTGTGTGTCTATCCATCCGCCTGTTTGACATTTCCACTAGGTTGCCTAATAAATATCACAAACCTTAAGTGTGTTGCCTAATAAATGTCACAAACCTAAAGTGCCAAAAAATAACTGCCAAAGAGTAAAAGTAAAAAAAAATTTTTGAAAAGATAGTTTTCTAAATATTTAGAATAAGGGGAAAGAGAGATTTATTCCCTGGTTCATTCCTCAGATGCCTATAACAGCCAGCGCTGGGCCAGGTCAAGTCAAGCTTGCAGCCTGATACTGGGTACCAATCTTAGTCATCCATGACCTACTGCCTCTCACTGCCTAATCTAGCTTGGAGCACTACTCTGACCTGCTTTTCTACCTGTCTCCAGGCCATCTTCATACAGGAGACAGAGTGATCTTTAAAATATGTATTATATAACGTCATTTAGATAATGTTATTTCTACCTGATTTGATTCTTAAATTTTCTGTGTTTTCCTAATATACTTTAAAAGAGAAAACTTCCCTACTCCAGACTTCCCAACTCCGCTCCCTGTGTTCCAGTTTCTTTAGTTCTTCAGATTTGTCCTAAGAACTTTCTCACTTCAAGGCCACTCACCACCCAAACTCTTTCCCCAGGCTAAAGCTCTCTAAGTCTTCGCATACTGTAGCCTCTTACTTCAGTTGGTAAGAATGATGTTGTCTCAAAGATGCCTTGAATTAAGTTTGATTCTACTGTTTTTTCTTAAACTATATAGCAACTTTGGATTTCTGCTAAACCCCTTACCATAATCTTGCTATTATCTTGTTGACCATTCATCTACTAGCTAGTAACCCTCTGAGAACAGAAATTCTGTTATTTTAATTCACCATTGTATCCCTAATAGCTAACATAATGTCTGGCAAATAATAGTGCCCACTAAATATTTACTGAATCAGTGGAAGAATCAAGTTGTTTCTTTGTTTCACTGTTATTTTTTATAGAAGACAAAATGAGCTGGCCTCATTAAGGCATGATCACAACCGTGTTAGTTGTTTTTTTGTACTTTCCCTTCTATTACTTTTTTCTTTCTCTGTGTTGCAGCAACTTGTATTCTAAAAATGTCTTCCTCTGCTCTTGGAGTGCTGTCAGGCAAATTGTCTTTGTGCTCTGCGTTGATTACCATCAGTGTACCTTCCTTAACTCCTGTTTTACTTTTTACTTTCTGGTTAAATTGCCCTTGAAACAACTCCCGGTTAGTTTCTCTTTGCAGCCCAGAAGCCTTCCCTCGTCCTTAACTCAGACCTCCTTGCTGCTTGCTCTTTTCCAACTTCTTTGTTGTCTTCTGTAGTTTACTTTGCACCAAGAGACCTTTCCCAAAATGCGTCATCTCTTTTTCTCTGTTCGTTTGAACAGCTTTGGATATCACTTCTCTGCAAGTTATCTTATTTAACTTCCCACCAAAATTTAATTCTTAGACTGGCGTTGTAATGTTGCAGGCTAAGCCTTTGCATCCCATATAGGTGCTAGTTTGTGGTCTGGCTGCTCCACATCCAATCTAGCTCCTTGCTAATGGTCCGGGAAAACAGTGAAAGATGACCCAGCTATTTGGGTCCTGCTACTCATGTGGGAGACCCAGAGGAGGCTCTGACTTTGACCTGGACCAGCATTGATCATTGCAGCCTTTTGGGCAGTAAACAAGTGAATGGAAAATCTGTGTCTCCCTTTCTGTAATTCTGCCTTTGAAATTAAAAAAAAAAAATGTTAGGGTTGGTTTGTGTCATATCTGGGAAAACTTTCACCTTCAATGGCAGCATCTCAAAGGTAAACCAGTTAGTTTTCTGCCTGATCTCCTCTTTTTTGTCCAGGTCTGTGCTCATGGCCTTGGGAAAAGCAGCAGAAAACCGTCTGTTTGGGCCCCTGCCTTCCATGCAGGAGACCAGAATGAACCAGTGAATGGAAGCTCTTCCTGTCTTTATTTGCTCTGTTTCTCCCCCCAAAATAATAATAATAAGTTTCATTTATTTTTATTGGAAAGACCAATATGCAGAGAGGAGAGACAGAGAGATCCTCAGTCTGCTGGTTCACTCCCCAAGTGGCCACAATTCTTGGAGCTGCGCCAATCTGGAGCCAGGAGCTTCTTCCGGGTCTCCCACGCTGGTGTAGGCTCCCAAGGCTTTGAGCTGTCCTCTAATGCTTTCCCAGGCCACAAGAAGGGAGCTGGATGGGAAGTGGAACAGCTGGGACACGAACCGGCACCCATATGGGATGCTGGCGCATGCAAGGCAAGGCCTTAAGCTACTAGGCTACTGCACCTAGCTCTCCAAATAAGTTTTTTTAAGTGTTTTATCATGGCTTCATGACTTACTAGTTTTAGTGACCTTGAACAAGTTCCTTAACCTTTCTATGCCCAAGTTTTCATTTGTGAATAAGAAAAGAAATAATAACATTTTCCTCGTAAGATTTCTTTGAAGATGAATGAGTTTGTTGGTAGGTGTGAAGTGCTTAGATCAGAGCTTAGCACATAGTGAGTGTTCAATTAATTTTACCTAGAGCTATTTTTAAAACGTGTTAACTCTTACCATCTTATCTGCTATTTAATGATGCTTTTCATTTTACCATTTGTAATTATCTCATTTTTTGATTATAGTAACCTCACAGGTGATGGAATTTTTGTTTTAAAGGAATCCTTTGTATCTTATACAAGTGAGTTAAATGTTTCTAATGTCTTCCAAGAGGATGATTTAAGTATGATTAAGTATGCTTTCTAGCTGAATGCATGCATTGCTAAAATGACATTTTTAAAAATTGGGCATAATGATTTCAATTCATTGTACTCTTCTCCACTAGGGGGCAAGACAATGTCATGGGAGTTAAGTACTGCTTTAGGAAAAATGATCATGTGGTTATTGCTATGCCGTACCTGGAGCATGAGTCTTTTTTGGTAGGTTTTAATATTTCATGAATTCTTATAAGCTAAGTATTTCATTGAAAACAATGTTATAACCCTATTCATAACTTTGTTTTAGGACATTTTGAATTCTCTTTCCTTCCAAGAAGTGCGGGAATATATGTTTAATCTGTTCAAGGCTTTGAAACGCATTCATCAGTTTGGTATTGTTCACCGTGATGTTAAACCCAGCAATTTTTTATATAATAGACGTCTGAAAAAGTAAGTATGAAGACTTTCTAGGTAATACGTAAACTTGAGCTGTAGGCTCCAACTCTTAAATATGTACTACAGTGTTCATGCACATACCATTTCTGTTTCAAATTTTACTTATGATTAAAAATGGAAATGCAGAGAATATAAAGTAGTAATAAAACAGTCTATGGTGTACTATGGTTTTTGAGGAAATAGCCCTGAAAGAATCTTTACACATAGCTTCTTTTTTTTTTCTAATGAGGTATTAAACTACGTAATAGCCAATTTCCTATTTCAGCATTAACCTTCTGTTTCTATGTATATTCTTCATGCTAGTTATATACATAGAGGAATAAAATAAATACTGTTGTTTATGTGATGTGTTATTGATTACGTGAGGAAATTAAAACCAACTTACCTTCAGATTTTAAATTTTCTTCTTTTTTGAAAGGAAGGCAGAGAGCTCCCATTCAGTAGTTTACTCTCCAGCTGGCCCATTGGGCCAGGCCAAAACCAAGAGCTGAGGAATTCGTCTGGCTCTCCCATGAGGGCCAGGGACCTGTGTGCTTGCTGCCTCCCTGGGGCTGCCTTAGCAGGAAGCTAGAGTGGAGAATAGAACTGAGATTTAAACCCAACTACTCTGATGGTGGACAAAGGTGTCCCAAACATTAGGTTAAGTTCCATGTTAAATGCCTGTCTCTTTCATTTTTTTTAAATCAAATGTTAGAACAATTAATTTATTTCTCTTTTAAACTTATTTTATTAGAAATAAAGCATTGTACTTACATTGCACATTTGTCTTCTGCCCAGTTAGCATTGCCCATTGGAAAGGGGAAAGAGAAAAAGTGATTGATTGATTGTGGGATGTGCATTTGGTTTTGAAGATTTATTTTATTTGAAAGAGAAAGAGAGATAAGGAGAAACCAATCTTCCCTCTACTGGTTCATTCCCAAGATGGCTGCAACAGTCAGAGCTCGGCCTCTGTCTGAGTCTCCCATGTAGATAGCAGGGGCTCAAACATTTGGGTCTTGTTGCTTGTCTTGGGCGCATGAGGAGGGCACCCAAGTGGAGGGATCACAGTGGAGCAGTTGGGCTTGAACTAGCACTACAATAGCCAGCTCCTAAGATATGTCACTTCTTAATTTTCTATTCCACATAAGTCTAAAGTCCTTGCTTTGTCGGGAAAACTTGTTATTAATTCTTAATTCTGAAAAGAATTATAGTTTCTGTATGCATGTAGTTGAGAGTATTACTAAGCTTTACTTGTTAAAAAGAAGTAAAAATGCCTAATTTTGTTTCTTAGGTACGCTTTGGTAGATTTTGGTTTGGCCCAAGGAACCCATGATACAAAAATAGAGCTTCTCAAGTTTGTCCAGTCTGAAACGCAGCAGGAAAGTTGCACCCAGAACAAGTCTCATGTAATAATGGGAAACAAGATTTCATTGAGTGGCCCAGCACCTAAGGAACTGGATCAGCGGTCCCCCACAAAAACATCTGTCAAAAGACCCTACACAAATGCTCAAATTCAGAGTAAACAAGGGAAAGATGGAAAGGTCCTACCTCTTTTATTTTTTTTAAGTAGTAAACCAACAGAAAATGTATTAATACCGGGATAGTATTTGTAATTTAAAAACTTGTTTTTAAGACATCTGTTATATTTTGCTTTACTAGATTTTCACTGAGATTTATTTAAGTTTACTTTTTTTGGTTTGTAATATCTGTCATTGTGAATACAAAAATTGTATGGCAATAAAAATATTTCATTTTCCCCCTATGTTTAAAAGTTCAGGTTAGTTATCCTTTTTAAAAGAAAACATTAGTCACAGGGGAAAAAATCTGAAGTGTCTATCTCCATTTAGCTGCACAGCAGACCGTAGCCCTCCTGCAGGTGACTTTTGGACCTTCTCCGTTGTGGATGTGTGTGGACTGTGGTAACACTGTATGGGTGTTTAGAGTTCTGCTTAGACTTTTCTCCTTTCAGAGTGTTCTGGTGGCTGAGAATGACTTGGATGCAGCTGTTTTGGTTTCTGTCATTTAATTCTCTCACAACTATGGCAGAGTACAGCTGGCAGAAAGTGTTACAGATATAACCCTTATTTTCCTTGTTTTTGTTGGTATTGTAGGAGGGATCTGTAGGCCTTTCTGTCCAGCGCTCTGTTTTTGGAGAAAGAAATTTCAATATACACAGCTCCATTTCACATGAGAGCCCTGCAGTGAAAGTAAGTAATGTAGCTTAATAGTGCAATGGCCAGTCAGTTGTACACTGAAGAGCCTTAGGTAATGACTAAATCAGCATATATTGAGTTGGCAGGAGATGTTACTGCTTTAAACATTGAACGTTTTTATTCAATTTTTTCTAGACTTTCTGGTGCTTTTTGTTTTTTAATTATTTTTGCTTATTAGCTGACTATTGTTGCTCTTTTCTCAGAGAAACGTTTAGAATGTTAGGGCGTTTTCTGTTATCATTGAGCTCCCAGAACCTACTTTATTCCTCATGCAGAGTTGGTAGTGTTATGAAAATTATCACCAGTTAGATGATTTTAAATTGATGTGTGATACCCTATGGTATCTAGACAGCAGTAAACCACAACTTAAAGCCAATTTTAGCCAATGTAATTGTGCAGTTTATAGTTCTGAAATGGAGTTAGACACTAGAACGTAACTGCCTTATACTTTTGTAATATAGCAAGAAATATTCTAATAAAGGATAAGTCAAATATTTACCAAACTAGGGCTAATTCGTACATTTTAATGTATGTTTATTCAGCAGAAAAACCCAAAGACCATAAACATCTTAATGGACAGCTGTTTATATACAATTGAATAGCACATTCAGCGGTTTTTAAAGTAACACTTTTGCCAAACTAGCATTGAAAGACATCATATTCAGTGTTATGAAACTAGAAAATATAACTTCTCTTTTACAGCTTATAAAACAGTCAAAAACTGTGGACGTACTGTCAAGAAAGTTAGCAACAAAAAAGAAGACTGTTTCCACGAAAGTTATAAACAGTGGTGTGGTGAGGAAAACTGGCAGTTCTTGCCCAGCCTCCCTGACATGTGACTGCTATGCAACAGATAAAGTGTGCAGTATTTGCCTTTCAAGGTAATGTGTTTATGCTATAAAATCACCAGCATACTGCCGAACAAGGCTGGAAATTAAACACTGATTAAGGGGACAGTTGATTTAGTGAGGGAAAGGGAACTGCAAAGGTGCTCATATAGAGCAGTACCTTGAAAAACGAGTGATACTGTTGTGTTGTTCATTTGACATGCGCCTTGTCTCTGAAAAACATATTTACTCATGTGTGCAGGTAATTGGAGTAGGCACAGGAAAGCACTTTTCAAAGTTTAGAATTGTATATTTTGTTTGCTGATGCATTCTTTTGTCTTCTCTGTCTTCATTTCTACTCATGATGGATTAAGTAGAACCCCAAAAAAATAAAAATAGAGCTTCTTTCATACTCCCACCTCCAGCTTCTTACATCAAACATTCTTCCCTTTCCTCTAAGACTTGACTTTCATCAAGCCTTTCTTGATTAATATATGGGAAAAAATATATTGATGATTAAGCACTCCAAACAAATGAATTTTTATACAAATTCCTCTTCTGTTTTTCTTTCATGGCTTTTATTGTCTACTAACTCTGTTTGAAAGTTATCTTAACACATTTCTGGAGTAAAATCAGAAATGTATTAGAAGGGGAACAAACCAATAGAAGTAAAATAGTGGCTTTATTTATACAAATACTAAGGCAAAATTTACTGTGGACTAAGTTGATGAATGTTATTTCTTGGATTTCAATATTTCAACTTTAACCAGAGCAACCTTGTTTGTTCTTTGTAAGGCGTCAGCAGGTTGCACCAAGGGCAGGTACACCAGGATTCAGAGCACCTGAGGTCTTGACCAAATGCCCTAATCAAACTACAGGTAGGTTACATGGAAAATACAGAACAATTCAAATGGGTTGTCCCAGTTATATATATATATATATATTTTTTTTTAAAAAAGATTTATTTATGTTTGTTACAAAGTCAGATATACAGAGAGGAGGAAAGACAGAGAGGAAGATCTTCCATCCGATGATTCACTCCCCAAGGGAGCTCAGTGGCTGGTGCTGTGCTGATCCGAAGCCAGGAGCCAGGAACTTCCTCCAGGTCTCCCACACAGGTGCAGGGTCCCAAGGCTTTGGGCCATGCTCGACTGCTTTCCCAGTCCACAAGCAGGGAGCTGGATGGGAAGTGGAGCTGCCGGGATTAGAACTGGCGCCCATATGGGATCCTGGTGTGTTCAAGGCGAGGACTTTAGCCACTAGGCCACTGCGCTGGGTCCATCCCAGTTATATCTTAAGATCTTTCTTTGTGATGAATATTTAAGCTTCTCTTGACTAATTAAATCATGCAAGCAGTCTGGCAGTGTGGTATTCCCATTTTTGAGAGAATGCTTTTCTTTATAAACATTTGTAATCTTTATGTTGTCCTTTTCTTTTTTGCAATATATTTCCAAAGATTGTGCACATGTGTACAAGATGATTTTACCAGGAATTTTGTTGTGGGAGGTAGTTGGGCAGTTTATGTCACCTTGAGATTTGTAACACTTCATCTACTTACCTAATACCACAGAACTTTTCTGTTATGCAGATATTCTTGTGTTTGAAATCGTGTTTTTGTATTATGAAAACAGTTTGATAGCACAAAATTTTTTCAAGAGAAAAAAGACTTTTATAATCTAAAACATTATCCTTAGACCAGTACTCAGGAGATGCCTTACTGAGTGAATAAATGACTCCTGCTGGCAGTGAAAATTACAAGTTGTGAAGAAATGCATTTGTTCATTGTATGTATGCTCTATACTTGTTAGTGAGACAAAAATGAGAACATCTGTTCTCGATGTAATTGGGACACACTCTTGAATAATTATAAAATAATCTGTTGAATATAGTACCAAAACTTTATATAGAAAGAAGTTAATAAAAGAGATTACCTTCAAGATAAACTGAAGTTGAGGTGGGCATTTGACATTGAGGCAAATGCCAAGGTGCTCAAAATGTACAGTCTAGTCATACAGTAATCTATGAAATTATAATGTGGCTTAGAATATAAAGTGCAAATTCTTGCAATAAATCAAGGGTAGGCATTTAACATAGCAGTTTAGATGCTGCTTGAGACACATATATCCTGTATCAGGGTGTCTGTTGTGAGTCCTGGCTTCCTTTCTAATTCCAACTGCCTTCTGATGTGCACACAGGGAAGCAAGCAATAAGTGAAATGAGTTAAAAAAAAAAAAAAAAGACAGCTTGGGCTGTATACCATATACCGTAGATGCTGGGAAGTTAAGAGTTGAAAGAGTACAGTATTCTACAAGAGATGTTGAGGAGTGTTGTCCTAATAATGGTTGAAGTAAGGGATAATTAAAGCATGAATGATGAAATTAGAATGAAATAAAAGGATTGGGAAAGCAAAGCCTGGTGGACTATTAGATGTGAAATTGACTATGAGAATAATTCATGAAGTGAAGGAATAAAACATACGGAATATTCACCAGATTCCTAACTTGAGGGATTTGAACGCATACTAGTAACCAAATTTGAGAACAAAGGAGAAATAACTGATTTGAAAGTAAAGGTAGGATTTAGTTTGGGGTATAACCGGTCTCAGATATCTTTGGAGCATTGAGATAGAGACATCTAACACAAAAAGTTACGTATGAAGCTCAGGAAAGAAGTTGGGCTGGAAATAAAATTTAATGTTTGGTAGTTGAATCCATGAAGTGGATAGACTAATCAGGGGGTAGTGCAGAGGAGATGAGGTTGGAACTCAGGACTATCAGCACTTTTGACTTTGAGAATATATTGCAGGAACAAGCAAAAGTGTGAAGAGAACTAAAGCAAGTGACACATTGGCCAAGGCATTTGAGAGCAAATAATGTGTTGATACTAGGTATTCCAGCAATTATGAAAGATGTCCCCAAGAGAAAGAAAAAGAAGCTTGGTGACTGAGCTGGTCCAGAAATCTAGGGATGTCTGTCACAATAGCTGGTGTTAGCTTCTGGCTCGTGAAGAGCTTGTAATGTTCAATACTTTGTCACCAAATGTGTCATTCTTGAGTTGCATCCAGAGTTTTCCCCACGTAACTATTTTTGAGTTTCTTTTGATCTTATGAAATATGCACTTATTTAGTGCTTTCTAATGATGAATATATATTTTTTAAATTTATGAACATGGTACTCAAGAAAGAAAATACTACATTTTGAATAATGATGCTTGGTCGCAGATTCTCAGTCATGACTAAGTTGAAATCACTTGAAGAACTTTTTAATACTGCCTGCTTCAGAAGCATTGGGCCAGAATCCTTGAGGGGTTGGGTCTAGGCATCTGAGGTTGCCGAGGCTCCTAGCATGATGGCGTTGTGCTGTACAGAGTCACAACATCTGTTTAGGATGATACAGCTATAGATGTGGAATTTGTTTTTAAAGTTTCTTTTCTGTTGCAGCAATTGACATGTGGTCTGCAGGTGTCATATTCCTTTCTTTGCTTAGTGGACGATATCCATTTTATAAAGCAAGTGATGATTTAACTGCTTTGGCTCAAATTATGACAATTCGGGGATCCAGGGAAACTATCCAGGCTGCTAAAACGTTTGGTAAGCTGGTTTATATTATGCATCAACACAAATGCCTTTGATTATCTTACAGACCATGGAGATTATAAAATTCTCTTTACAAATATTGTTTTCATAAGGTTCTCTAATCTTAGAATATTAGTTGCTTGAAAATCACATGCTTCTAAGTAACTTGTCATTCTCCTCTATATGCGTAATTTAATTTTATCAAGCACAAAATACTGCACTTAAAATTTTTAAGAACATAAGGCATAGAACCTTTATTATCTGTTTAGTTGTGGTTTGAATTTTGTTACATAAGTGTTTAATAATATAATTTAATTTTTTGTGTATAAGCATTAGGTGCTGTACTTAACACTGAGAATATCTTTGTCTTAATTGATCCTAGTCTAACAAGTGAACAGCTAATTATATTTAAATGTAACAGGACTACAATAAGAAAGAGCAAAAAATTATATGTTCATGTGCTAAGTTCTTTAGGATTAGTAGAATGACATGAATGAATGGAACATCTTTCTAAGCATATAGTAGAAATAACCACTTATGGTCTTCAAAAATGGGATATATAATGTACTTCACAGGGCACCTGATAATTGTCTCTACCTTGCTCTAGTCCATGACCTCACCTCAAATACCACCTTTGTATTTGTTCTGCAAGTACCGTTAGAGTTAATGCTTTCTAAGAAGTGATACAGTTGAATCAGCTTACCACCACACAGTATAGAACGCCCCCTCTGTGGTTACAGAGTTTGAGTTAGCCTGCCTCAGGATTAGCTGGGCTGCCTTGTGCCCAAGCCTAGCCTCAGTGGATCTTTACCAGGAGTGCAGCAGAGTTTCCGGTAAAACCTCAAGAAAGTCATGAGCTGGCCCCATTTCACCCATGCCTGGAAAATATGATTCAGAAAAATATATTTAGCAAGGCTCCAGACTTAGTTTGAAAAAAATGATTTTGATCAAGAACTGCTTCTGGTTTAGAGCATCTGTGAATATGATTGTCTCGTGCTTAAGCAGCAGTATCAGGATATATTCCACCAAAATAAATAAATAAATAAATAAATAAAAGCTTAATGGCGGTTATATGAAGAGATCGTAATAGTAAAGACTAGCCAAGAGAACTAGAAGAAACGCTTTTGCAGCAGAATCTACAACTTGTACTTGTTTCTGCTTGTTGCAATAAAATGTTATTTGAGGAATGGAATAAAGTAAATATAAGAGGAAAGTAACCATGAGTAGAAAGCAAGCTTGGTCTCTTAGAAATGATGTTTTCATGTAATAAAAAAATGGGAGTGTATTTGTTTTCGAGTAACTGAGAAAACTTTGATCTAGTATTAAGAAATGTTGAGAGAAGTTTGGTCAAAGCCTGCATCTCCCTGGTTGTGCAGTATCTGACAGGAATCTCCACAGTCTGTGTCGTGACAGCATGAGAGTTACCACTGTCGTGCTCATTCTCTATTTTAAAAATCATGCTATGTAGCACTTGCCTCAGTTTTGGTGTAGCTTGGATGGTTATTTCCTCCTCAACCTTAGTGTAACTTTGAGCTGAGTGCAAAAGCCTCAACATTTCATTAACTAGAGTTGTAGTTCTTAAATAAATGACTTGCTTGAGGTAGTTAGATCACCTCTTTTATGGTGACCTGTCCATTGTCCTCAGCTTCATTGAATTACGTTGAATAAATGAAGAAAAAAACTAAAGCAAAAAACTGAGTTAAAGCTGATGCCTGACTCATAGTAGCCTGGGCAAAAAAAATATGCTTCTATTAGTTTGTATTTCTTGAATATTTTCAGGGAAATCTCTTTGGTCATTACAAAAAAAAAAGAATGGAGGCATTTATATACCTTAGGAGTCTACTAAAACAAGTATATTTGATTATTTCATTATCAGAGTAAGCTAATGAATTAAGGAATAAAACTGTAGATATTTTCCTCTAATTTACTAGAAGGTTTTATTTTACTTTGTTTCTGTTCTTAAGGTTTCTTTTTTGAAATTCAGAGTTATAGAGAGAGGGAAAAAGAAATTTTTTCCAAATACTAGTTTACTACTCAGGTCAGCTCAACAGCCAGGGCTGTGCCAGACTGAAGCCAGAAGCCAGGAGCCTCATCTAGCTCTCCCATAGGAGTGGCAGGGACCCAAACAATTGGGTCATCTGCTGCTGCTTTTTCCAAGCCATTAGACAGGGAGCTGGTTTGGAAGTAGAGCAGCCAGGACATGAACTGGCACCCATATGGCTTGCTGATGTCACAGGTGAAGAAGGCTTTACCCACTGCACCGCAGTACTGGCCTGTTTTTTGTCTTTGCAATTGTTTTTCTTTTTTTTGTGACTAGTTTTTAACAGGTTCCATATAGTTTGTAGATGCAAATCTGAGAAAATAAAGGATTCCCTCCCTTACTCCTTCCCTTCCCTTCTTTCTTCCTTCTACCCTTTTTCCCTCTCCTGACTTTAGTTTTTGAGATAACATACTTTAAATTTACATTGCACTAAAAAGGTTAATGCTTCACTGAGTAAGTTTAACTAATGAAATGCCAGAAGACTCTAGGTTAGTGGGAATATACACAGTAGCTATAAATAATAATTGAGTGAAAAAAAATGACCACTGCTTCCATATACAATAAAAGCTATAGTAGTATAACATTTTTAACCATTGGTTTGACAAAACTATGAACGTTTCACAAAGTGTATTTGTAGCAGCACTGATACACACAGGCATTTTTGTTGTTTGTTTTTGAAATTTTACTTCCCACAAAGAAAGGAGAACCTGTGGTGTTTACATTCCCTGTAAGGCTTACTTTACTCGAAATGTTCTTCAGTTTCATCCATTTTGCTGCAAGTGGAAGAGTTTTATTCTTTATAGCTGAATATTATAAATATTGCATTGGATGCATATATCACGTTCTCTGTACCCATTCATCTCACGAGTACCTTGGTTGATTGCAAATTTTTGCTCTTGTGATTAGTACTGCTATAAGCATGATGGTGTTGTTATCTCTGATACAGTGGGTTCAGTTCTTATGGGTATATATCCAGTAGAAGAATTGCTGGGAGAATTATAGGGTTTTTTTTTAAGTAGAAAAAGATTAATATACTGTGTCTTCACTAAATTTTATTTTTAATCATTTATTTGTCCACAAACAATTCCCTCCTCCCTTGACCCACCCTGATGATTTCCTGCCTAGGTACTCTGGTCCAGTAATTACATCAGACTGTATAGGAGAAACTTTTTATCACATACTGCCAAATTAAATACTTTGTTAACAATCTGTGATCCCTAGAAAGGAACCTTAATGTTGTCTCAAGCCACTTTGTTTACAAAGGAATTATAAAGTAAAAAAACTGCCTATTCGTATGCTTAACCTATTTTTTGCCCCTGTGTGCCAATAAAGATGTCGGGAAGTTATTTCAAAAACATTTATACACACACATGCATATACATACACAAATGTATTTTTTTCTTTTTTTTTTTTAAGAGTTATTTTTATTGTAAGGCAGATATACAGAGAGGAAGAGAGACAGAGAAAGATCCTCCTTCCACTGATTCACTCGCCAAGTGCCCACAATGGCCAGAGCTCAGCCAATCCAAAGGCAGGAGGCAGAACCTTCTTTCAGGTCTCTTGTGTGGGTGCAGAGTTCCAAGGGGTTGGGCCATCCTTTACTGCTTCCCAGATCACAGGCCGGAAGCTGGATGGGAAGCGAGGCTGCCGGGATTAGAACTAGTTACCATATGGGATCCCAGCACATGCAAAGCGAGAACTTCAGCTACTAATTTACCATACCGGGCCCTGTGTGTGTGTGTGTGTGTGTGTGTGTGTGTGTGTGTGTGTGTGTGTATTTTTTTCCTTTTCAAAGATTTATTTCATCGTACCTGTAAGTCACAGTTACAGAAGAGAGACAAAGAAAAGATCTTCCATCTACTGGTTCACTCCCCAGATGGCTGCAGTGGCCAGAGCTGGATTGATCTGAAGATGGGCTCATTTGAGGCATGGGGCCAGGAGCTTCTTCCAGATTTCCATGTGGGTGCAGGGGCCCAAAGACTTGTGCCATCCTCTGCCGTCTTCCCAGGGTATAAGAGAGCTGGCTGTGGAAGTGAGGAGCTGGGTGATGAACTGGTGCCCATATTTGGCTTAGTTGTACCATGTACTGTTTGGGTCTCCAGTCTTATAAAGTTCTAGTGAGGGAAAGAAAACAGACCTTCAGAGAAAGAGTCAAGGAAAAAGAGAGTGCAGAGGGCTTAGCAATTAAGGATAGATCCATCAAGAATAGCATCTGTAAGGAGGCTGCTTTTTATTTTTTATATATTTATTTTTATTTGAAAGGCAGATTTTACAGAGCGAATAATAGAGACCTTCCATCTGCTTGTTCACTTCCCCAAATGGCCGTAGCATCTAGAACTGAGCTGATCCAAAGCTGGGTCTCATTCCAAGGACTTGGGCCATAACAGTTGGATTTTGGAAATAGAGCAGCCAGAGTAAGAATAGGTGCCCATATGGGATGCCAATGCCATGGGCTGAAGATTGCCTTGCAGTGCCACCACGCTAGCCCCAGGATATCACATTTGAACAGAGATGGTAACTTTTTTCTAATATAGCAAACCTAAATGGGACACCTGGTGTCTACTAGGTTTGGAGAGGTCAAGGATAAATCAACGGTCCCTGTCTGCAGGGTGCAGCAGGTGGGATGTACACATTTTATTGGTACTATTTAGTATAGCAAAGATAATTGTAACACTTTCCAACATATGACAGAATGCTGGTGACAATTTAGATGATCAATTCTGAAGAGTATTGGGTCTTATAGAGGTGATTGTTGAGCTGAGTGATGGTGAAACTGGGCACATGGGTACAGAGCATCCTAAAGCAGACAGGAGCCGTTTAGTCAAAGGTGTGGAGGTTTGGGAGGGGTTGGGAAGCAGGTGATGTAGCTGGTTAAATGAAGCTGAAGATGTTGGGGCAGCCAGGCAAGTACTAGGTTAGTTTAGTAAGTCACTGATGTCAGATTACTATCTCTTTATAGTTTGGCCTTCAGCCGTGTACTTCAAAACAGAACTTCAGTGTGTAGCATTTATATTCATTGTACAAATACTCATTATATCTGTAAAGCACTTGGCTAGATTTCCATGTTTCTCAAGAAAGATGTTGCTGCTGTATTGTGATACTTTTGTTTTTTCTTTTAAGGCAAGTCAATATTATGTAGCAAAGAAGTCCCAGCACAGGACTTGAGAAAACTCTGTGAGAGACTCAGAGGTGTAGATTCTCATACCTCCAAACCAACCAGTGCCACACAAAGCCCTACTTCTCCTGACCAGATCTTCTCAGAGAAGACGGACCATGTAACACCTTACCTCATACAGACACCTCCAGCAGAGTCCTCAGGGGATGGATTGTGTAAAAGGGACAGAAATGGCTGCGGAAGTCTTTTTGACGAGTGTGCAACCAATTTAGAAGGCTGGAATGAGGTTCCTGATGAAGCTTATGATCTGCTTGATAAACTTCTCGATCTAAATCCAGCTTCAAGAATAACAGCCGAAGAAGCTTTGTTGCATCCATTTTTTAAAGATATGAGTTTGTGATTATGGATCTTCATTTAGTGTTAATGTTGTGTATTAGGTAAAAATGAGTTATTTGTAAATAGCCCTTACGTCCTTGTTTACAGTCCAACACAGGACAAGTAATTTATTTTAAAAACTTAGTATTTACTGTCATGGCAGATATATGAAATACAGGTTAGAGTTACTTAAAATGCCTGGGATAATTTTTAAACCAACAAAATAATCTTCAAGTTCAATGCACTCAAGTAGAGTCGGATCTTTAGTGTATCTGTTTACTTTTCACTGCCATTTGCAGGCACAGGAACAGTTTTAGCATAGTACATGAGCGTGCAAGACAAAGTTGTTAAGCATAATAGCAATTAATTGAGTTGGAACACATAGTTTGCTGAGTTCTTACATGAGCCATGTATACTTCGAAAAAATTAACTTGGTACTGGTGCTCTTAAAATTTTATAGTGAAGATAATTCCGTTTTGTACAAGCATATTATACCTTTTAAAGAACACTGAGATGTTGGCCATGGGGCAGAGTATCATTTAAATTGAATTTACTCATTTTTTGAAAGTCATAGAAACGTTTTTGTCTTAATTGTGATGTTTTCTTAATTTTTCTTCTGACACTTTTTGCTTGAAAATTATATGGTGCTTACTACTTTATTAGATGCTACATGCATTTATAGCCAGGAATTGATAGCAATGCGTGTATGCTGGATAAGGAAAAACTGTAGGACAAAGATGAAGATTGAAAGTCCAGAATACTTTGTTTTCCTTTTTTCTTTTGTGCATGTTTTTCACATGATCTTAAAAATAATTAGGTAGCCCCAGCCCCCCCTCCCCCAAAGGAAAAAAAGAGAGAGAGAGAGAGAGCAAACACATGGGTTTATTGGAGATGTCTGGAGAGCTGTCTGTATTCCTGACAAATGGTGTTGACTAATTCGGTGCTGCTCGGAGAGTGGTTACCACAGCCTTAGTGTTAGAGGAAGAGGGAGAATGAAGTAAACAAAGTGGAAAAGGGTCTAAGGCTAGGCAGTTATGTGTTACTCGCATTGCAAACTGACAGCATGTCACACATCATCTGAAGTCAGGACAGGGAGTGGATCTGCTGACCAGTTTCCCCTTTCATAGTCTTAGAATATGGAAACAGCTTAGAGACAGATACATTTTGTTTGAGCATTGTTAAGCCAGTGTATTTACCTGGTCTACTTGGAAATTATAGTGTTTATATAAGCCATTACTATGAATCTGCTCTCTTAAATTATTTAAAAACTTGAATGTTCTTGAATTTGCATGTTCAATAAAGTTATCCTTTTATATTTTTATGTCAAAAGTGACTTAATAAAAAGACTAGAGAGAGATTTTCTGAGGTTGATGAATGCTCTTTCATCAGCAAGCTGGATGGTGGGTTAAAAGTGATCTGGGGCCTGGCATAATGATTCAGTAGCTGAAACCTCACCTTGTGCATGCCAAGATCCCATTTGGGTGCCAGTTTTTGTTCCAGCTGTTCAACATCCCATCCCTCTGCCTGCTTGTGTCCTGGGAAAGCAGTGGATGACCCAAAGCCTTGGGACCCTGCACCGGTTTGAGAAACCCTGAAGGAAGTTTGAGATCAGCTCAGCTCTAGTTGCTTGGGAGTGAACCAGGGGATGGAAGATCTTTCTGTCTCTCCTCTCTGTAAATCTGTCTTTTCAATAAAAATAAATATTAAGAAAAACATAATGGTCTGGCTCAAGTACAACATGAAAGATTCTTGTATAGAAGAAAAGTGCTCATTCGTTGAATTGTAGAATAATTGTTGCAAATAGTGAAACAGTAAAGCCATCTCAGTGATTAAGATGAAGCCTTTTTTACTTCATTTTGACTCATGAGCAACTTAACATTCTCAGAAAAGTTACCAAAATTGCAAGGGATGCAGACTCTAAAATTCAGAAATTTTAACTTTTGATTAGGAAAGAATTTGATTATCAAGGAGCTTGAAAAGTGAGCTAATGTACTAAAAAATGCCTGTTACAAATGAGTTCTTAAACAATTTCAGTCCAAGAGTAGAATACTGCCTCAGTTTTGGGCAAACATCCTAGTGTGCTGGATCAGAAGCTTCAGCATACATATTCATGTGGAATTAAACCTCAGCACCATTTTATAATGGCAGATATCCTAAAAGATTTTATCAGGCAAAATAAATCTTTGCTGGAGAAAGATTAAGAAGGTCTGTTTTGATGCCATTTTTCTAGTAGATTTCTGACTTCTTAAAATTCCAATTGTGCAGACTTGACATAAACTGGTGTTTTCATTTAATAAGCCTTGGGCATGAAAATATGACAAGCTACAAATACTGGTTTTGGAGAGAAGCATTAACCAGCTCTAGTGTTTTTAATGAAACTTTTCCTTATAAGGAAATGATTATGGTTGCCTTAATGACCTAAATAAAAATATGACTCAAGAAGAGTTACTCCAAAGAATTAAGCTTAGTTTACTAAGAAGTCTGAACATAAGTCATTAGTGATGTTAGTATCTGTGACATTAGCATTTTGGGAACAAAATGGGGTTGCAAGTGTCAGAATATTGCGTAAGATCTTGGAAGATAGGAAACTCACAGGAATGGGTCTTAGTAATTTCTATTCTGTTGTTTATATAATTCCAGCTCTAATGTCACCAAGGAGTTATTTATCTTAAACTGGCCAAATTAGGCGGGGTAATACTGTCTGCAGATGTTTTGTTTCTGCCTCCATTTGCGCATGTTATCTGTGATCTTGAAAGAACACAATCGAAAACCAGACAAAAATGTCAATCCTGTTACTTTGTTTTTCCCTTCTATGCTTAAAACTGATGCTACTCTTCTCATTTTGTCTAATTATGTGTCTGAGTCTTCTTTCTTGAAAGCTGGATGTTGTCCACCAATGTAATTAGAAGCTATTCTGTGATAAGTGCCAACAAGGTTTTCAACAAAATAACCACCGTGGTCAGTGCTAAGGCAAATTTTTGGTCAATACTGACATTTTAGATATCTGAAGTAAAAAAGCAAGGCCTTAGGAAAGCAATTGCAGATTGAGTGAGAAAATTGTAAAAGCTCAAAAATCTAATTATGACAAGCCTAAGAGCTAGGCTGAGGTTTCTTTTTTTTTTCTCTAGATGAAAAGGGTGAAATTTGGATTTCTTTTGAGTGCTTCAAATTAAACACTATATGGGAAGGAATTTGAAAGGATGAGCGAAATAAAATTTTACTGCGAAGTTTTTTTAAAGAAAAAACTAGAAAACATGTAAATGGTTTAGAATTTCAACTTAAGCATGCAACATATGTAAAATATTCTAGGTTCTAACCATTAAAGAGATTTCATGTTGGACTCTACTAAAGCAATTCTTCCAGTAAAGTGACAGGTTTAGCAGCAGACAGTTTCTACCCTATGAAGAAAACTAGTGAATAAGAGGCATTTACAGATCTCTTAGACCTAGAAAATGTGACTATCTGGCAGATCTAGAAGATAGATCAAGGACAGGGCTTCTGACATCCTAGAGTCATAACAACACTGCCAGACCAAAGCGGAAATCAAAGAATTCATTGGATGCCTATTTTTTAATTTTCAGACCTTTTTTCTTTTTTCATATGTGTTCATCAGCATTTTATGGATGGTATGTTTTCATCTGTGAATACATGTGTTTGCCCTTTGTTCAGATTCCTTCTGTAACTTCTGAATTCTGTAGCATGTGATCTAGAGAATGATTCCAACTAGTACAAGACCGAGAAAATAAACACATGTGTGGCACTGTAACCCCTATTTGTTGTTAGTTTAGCTCTGTCCTTAGGCAAATGGGAAGGGCTGGGTAATCCAGTCACTTCTACATTTCTCAAGACAATGCAATTTCCTTATTTCGTTTGTGTGTGACAGATCATCTTACTACAGACTTGAATGCTCTTATTAAAAATAAAGTGAGTCACACTGCTTGTGTATGTAAGTAAGTAATATTTACTTGTGTATTAGTGCTCCTTTAATGAGTTGCATGTCTAGTGTTCTATTTGTCCTTTCTATTATTTTTAGTTGTTATTATGAAACTTCATAGGTGTACTCCTTGAAGCAAGAGTTGGGCATAGCAGTTAAGAAACGCACATCCCAGAAATGGGTACCAGGATACATTTCTTAACTCTGGTTCCTAACTAACTTCCCATCAGTGCAGTACCTGGGAGATGATAATCATGACACAAATGATTGGTTTTCTGCCACCCACATGGAAGACCTGGCTTCCATGTTTTATCTTCCCAGCTCCTGGCTTGTAACTCTTGTCCAGCCCCCCACCCTTGTGGGCATTTGGGGAGTGAACTAACAAACAGGAACCCTGTGGCTCCCTTTGTTTCAGGAAAAAAAAAAAAAAGAGGGGGACTTGTTATCACTATTTTTAAAAATTAAATACAGTGTATGAAGGAGGATCTTGCTCATCCACATACAATGTGACATTGAATGCTCAGTATCTTCAAAAAATTCATGGACAATGCAAACCATCTCTTAATTGCATTTTCCATTGCTTTTTTGAAGTGACTTCATATTTGTTGAGTTAGTGCTGTCCATACAAAATATTAAACACCTGTCTTTAGGTTTTCTTCTTCTCCTTCTTCATTTGATTGGAAATGACTAACTACTAGGGCTGGCCAGGACCCCAGATCGCTTAGTCCAGATCTTCCACTTGAGTACAGAGATGCAACTACTTGACCCATCATCTGTTCTTTCCAGGATATGCATTAGCAGGAAGCCAGGTCAGAAGCAGAGAAGTCAGGATTCAAACCAGGTGCTCCAGCATGGGGTGTGAGCATCCCAAGCGGTGCCTTAATTGCTGTGTCAAACCTTCGAAAGAGTGCCTGTTTTCCTATGTTTGAAACAATTTGATTTGAAGTGATACCAAGTGATAAGTGAAGTGAAACACATTCCTCCTACACAATCATCTCTTCACAATATAGTATCATTCCGAATGTAATTTAATGAAGAGCAAGGTTCTCTTGCCATGCCTTACGTTAGAAACACTAAATGATCTTCCAACTTGGTTGTCGCTGTTAACTAGAATGTCTTTCCTCCAATCTGTGCCCCAGATATATTCATTCTTATCAAACTAAAGACATCCCATCCCTTCCTCAACAAAGCTCCTGCCCATTGATCATTTCTTTCGTTTTTTACACTATAAACTTATTAATGGTACAATTTTATCCCCTGCCTCCACACACACACACGCTCACATTTCTTGCCATCAAGTAAGAGACTTGGGTACCCATTTCAAACTTCAGGCTTAACTAGGAATTCTACGCTATAAGCTATTTCCAAACCCCACTGGAATGATACCAGTCTGAAGACAACCTGTTTACTTCTTAAACCATCTGAAGGATTATGTTGTTTTCCCTTGGTGATCGGCCCTAAGGCTTTCTCAGCTCCCTCACCCCATGTCATCCATCTCAGTTCCAATTTCCATTCCCATCTGCTTGTGCTCCACTCCTATTGTGTTCACTCTGTGGAGATGGAACAGCTGGTGGACATTTTATCTGCAGTAACCCTTCATGTCCTTGTGTAAGGGACAAGTGAGCAAAAGTTTGATAATTCCTTATTAAAGTCATGTTTGAAGCTACTACTTGTATGCTAAGCACCATAACCATCAGCAGAATCAGTCTGTGCTAGGATTCTTTCGTATGTATAAAGTACCACGAGAAAGCCTAAGATACACACTTGATTATGCTTTGCAATTATGACTCATCTTCACACATGTAGGATGCTATTCATCACAGCTTTTCCTGAGACACCTTCAATCCAAAATGTCAGTCAGTTCCCAAAAACATATTCATGAGCTCTGAGAATTCCAGTCATTTTGCATCCAAATTGCATTTCCAAGAATGTCTCAACTGGAGGTAATATGAAATTGTGATAAGTGAATTCCATCTTTGTAGCTTTGAAAATATGTTGCATTAAGGCATGTCATATCTGAAACTGCTTTGGGTACCACTGGTGTATTAGTGAAAGACGTGCTCTCATTGTCTTCTTCTGAGCACAGGATGGGGACTTACGTATTTTCTTTCAGGCTCTACATTTTAAGATGTAACAGCTGGGAACATTTTAGTGTCTCATTTAATCTTTGTCGATTAAAACCCTTCACTGGAGGCAGCACGGCATAAAGGAGTCAGACTAGGCTTGTTCTTCCCTCTACTGTCTCAGTTTCCTCAACTGCCATGTGAGTTTTAGGTGCCCACCTCACTCTTCCAGGAATAAATGAAAACATGCTGTCTAATGATCATGTTCTTTCTTCACTCTCTGACCCTGGTTCCTGCCAGTTCCCTTCTGCTGTTCCTTGATCT